CGCCGCCGCGTCGCGCCGCGTGGCCTCGTCCGCTTTGTGGAGGAGTTCGTCCACCTCCGAGGAGCTCAGCGGGTGGATCCCGTTCGCGGCGGCGCCGTCCACCGCGTGGACCACTGCGAGGAGAGACGCGGAGTGAGCGGCTGCGGCGGGAGGGCGGGCCAAGGAGGGGGTCGCGAACCGGGTGGCACGTTCAGAACTGAGCGGCGTCAGAGCTCCCTCCGGCCGGTGGGTGCAGCCAAAGCCGCACCCAGAGGAACATGCATAGCTGCCAAAACACTTCTTGGGATCCGAAAAGCCCAGACATAAATGGGTTGGGAACCCTCCCACACTTTGATGCACCGCTGACCTTGGAGCGGCCGGGTTTGAACTGTGCAGATGGCTCACACACGAGTTGTCCACCTCTGCCACCCCAGAGACGGCAAGGCCGATCCCTTCTTTTCCTTCTCAGTGTGAAGACAGTAAGGATGAAGACCTTCACGATGGTCCGCTTCCACTTAATATATTTTCTTTCTCTGGTTTTTTTTTTGAGTCTCACTCTGTCACCCAGGCTGGAGCGCGGTGGCACACTCATGGCCACCCCTAGTCTTGACCTACTGGGCTCCAGCAATCCTTCCGCCTCAGCCTTCCAAGGAGCCGGAACTACAGGCACGTGCCACCATGCCCAGCTAGTTTATTTATTGTAGAGATGAGGTCTCACCCAGTTGCCCGGACTGGTCTCGAACCCGCGGGCTCCAGCGATCTGCTCACCTCGGCCTCCCAAAGTGCTGGGATTACAGGCATGAGCCTAACCCCTGTGTCTTTCAAGGGTCAACTGTATTTCTGCCTTCTCCAGCCAGCTGGCTCCCACTGAGTTATCTTGCAAAGCAGGCGACTGTTTTCTCTTCTCTCTTTGAGTCAGAGTCGCACTGTGTCGCCCAGGCTGGAGTGCAGTAGCAAGCTCACAGCCACCGCAGCCGCAACCTGCTGGGCTCCGGCAACCCTTCCACCTCAGCCTCTCAAGTAGCTGGAACTACAGGCACACGCCACCGTGCCCAGCTAATGTTAGACCTGTTTCTCTTATAGCAGGGAGGACCACACTCCCTGGGGAATCAGAGGTTAGAAGCAGCAGGGATTCTGATTTTTTCCGTCTTTGGCTTTCTTTGGTCGATCTTGAACTAAAGCTCCACTCATTTCACTCAGTCTTCCTTGCTTTCTAGTGGGTGCCCTAAAGGCTTCACACTTCCCTAAGCTGTGCTTTGGTTGCACCTCTCGGGTCACGTTATGCTGTTCTCTGGCAAGGACAAATGGTTTATTGATTGACCTCATCTTGATTGATTGCCACTTTAAGCCAAGATTTATTTAGAAAGGTGTTTTTAGATGTCAGGGGTTAGGGAACTATGGCCAAGGACTCAGAGCATAAGACGTCAACCCTAGGCCAGGCTCGGTGGCCCAGCCTGTCATCCCAGCACTTTGGGAGGCCGAGGCGAGTGGGAGGCCTGAGCCTGCGGGTTCGAGACCCACCTGGGCAACTTGGCGAGACCTCGTCTCTACAATAAATCGAAAATTAGCTAGACATGGTAGCGTGCGCCTGTAGTTCTGGCTACTTGGAAGGCTGAGGCAGAAGGATCCCCTGAGCCCAGCAGGTTGAGGCCGTGGTGGCCAGGAGCGGCCACTGCACTCCAGCCTGGGCCACAGAGTGAGACTCCCACTCAAAAAAAAAAAAGATATCAACTCTAGCTGGGTGCGGTGGCTCAAGCCTGTCATCCCAGCATTTGGGGAGGCTGAGGTGAGTGGATTGCCTGAGCTCTCGGGTTCGAGAACAGCCTGGGCACCTTGGCGAGACCTCATCTCTACAATTAAAAAAAAATCATCGGGGCATGGTAGCACATGCCTGTAGTTCTAGCTACTTGGAAGACTGAGGCGGAAGGATCGCTGGAGCCCAGTAGGTCAGTCAACGTTGGGGTGGCCATGAACGTGCCACTGCACTCCAGCCTGGGCGATGGAGTGAGACTCAAAAAAAAAAAAAAAAAAAAAGGTGATCAACTCTATTCGTTTATTTTTGAGTCAGGATCTCTGTTGCCCAGGCTGGAGTGCAGTGTCATGATTATGGCTCGCTGCAGCCTTGACCTCCTAGGCTTGGGCAATCCTCTCGCCTCAGCATAACTGGCGAATTATGTTTATTTTTCACAGAGATGAGGTTGTACTATGTTGCCCAGGCTAGTCTTGAACTCCTGGGCTCAAGCCTCCAGCCTTGGTCTGGGGTGACAGGCGTGAGCCACCGCACAAGGCCAAAGATATCAACTTTATAACCATCCTCACAACCCAGGACATGGTCACTTTCTGAAATACTCCACCCTTATTTGCAGAGACCATAGGTAGAGTTCTTTCTGGACAGTCAATCTCGCTACACATGTGTCCCCCAGTCTCTCCAGTGCTCCTTGTCCCAGTCTCTTTGGCCTGTCCTTTCTGGAGCTGTGCTGCACCCTCTCTGGGACCAGCACCCCAGAAGGGCTTTTCGGCTGGGCCCTGACGCCGGCCCCAGATCCCAACCCTGCGAGCTCCTTCTGGAAGCTCAGCTGCCAGGGCCACGATGGGCGGAGGCAGGGACAGGCGGGTGGCACCCAGGACGTGCCTCCTCACGACCAAGGGTCGAGGCTCCTGTCCCTGGCCACTGGCCAGAAGGGACGGGCTCTCCACTGCCAGTCTCTCCCTCCCAGGCTCCAGGGCCTCCCTGTGACTCGGGGCTGGCGGCCAGAGGGCAGGGTTTGTCTGGCACACAGACTCCACTGGTTCCCACCAGCCACTGTCCCAAGGCAGGAATCTGAGCCCCGGGCTGCCATGGAAACGGATCCCCTGACTGTTGCTAAGCAGCCAAAGTCCAACCCAGCAGGTCTGGGTCCCCGGGGGCCCAGGGAGGCCAGGTGGAGTGGGTGAGAGGCCTCGGCCTGGGATCTCTGTCAGAAGCCAAGGCACCAGGACCCACCGGGCCACACAGCCTGCCAGAGCTGGGAGCCAAGCAGGGCTGCACCCCAAAACCACCTGGAACCCAGCTGTGACGGGACCCTCTCATCGCAGTCGGGACACTCCAGAGGCCCAAGCCACCTCTGAGAACACTGTGATCCAAAACCACGGTGGGACAGACTTCAACCTACCAGGGCGGCAAAAATGATAATGGACAACAGCCTATGTTGTTGGCGTGGGCATGGGGATGCCAGGGCTTGGGGAGGGCAGGGCAGGGCAGCTGCCCCAGAAGACACTCAATTGTGCCTCAGACACGCACACGCAGAGCCATCATTGGATCCACAACTCCGCTTCAAGGCACACACCCAAGAGTTGTGAAAACATACACCCACACAAACACCTGTATAGCACAGCAAAGCCAAAGGGCAGAAACCACCCAAATGTCCGTCCACAGACGAATGGTCAAAACTGCATGGCCTGTCCACATGTGGACACAAACCAGCTGTGAACAGGAACGGGGCTTGGACAAGGGCCACAGCGCAGAGGGTCCTTGAGGACATCGTGGTCCATGAGGCCCAGACACCAGAGGACACACAACGTGTGTCCCTATTTCTTTTCTTTTTTTTTGAGTTGGAGTCTCACTCTGTCGCCCAGACTGGAGTGCAGTGGCCACTCCTGACCACTGCAGCCTTAACCTGCTGGGCTCCGGCGATCCTTCCACCTCAGCCTTCGGAGTAGCCGGAATTACAGGCGCGCGCCACCATGCCCGGCTGATTTTTT